GGAATATTTGGACCTAATTATAACAATATAAATAAATAGAAAAATAAACATTACGCAATCCTTTACAAATGTCTAATGCGAGATGTTGATCATATTGCCTCTCCCAAAATGGCCGGCAACCTGTTACCATTTCATACATAATCATTGCAAAACTGTAAATGTCAGTAGCAGTTGTATGTTGATCTCCTTTTAACAACTCCGGCGCCACATAAGGTAAAACACCATAAATGGGACCTTTAATTTTATCATTGGTTAATAAACTATATGAAAAACCAAGGTCAGCAATCGTAGGTCCAAGTTCGTCACAAAGTATATTGCCTGAATGTAAGTCGCCATGTATAAATCCTTTATCATGCATAATTGTAAGCTCCTTACTGATCTGAAATATAAATGAAAATCTCGATACCCATAAAAGACTCCAATAATCACGAGCAATTAACGATCGCGCATCGACTTCATATAATTTCATGACCATAAAGCAAGTGAATGAAGATTCAAAAAATGACGATACTCCAAAAATTTTTGCGTCAAATCCGCACAAGTTGGCATAATATGATCTAAACAACTTTTTGAAAATTAGTTTGCACATTAAATCGCTTGATTTCATAAATGATAAATAGATTTACTGTACATTTTTTACACTTACCTCATTAGTTTTTTTCTCGTCTATTGGTAAGGTCTTTAACGCAACATGTTGCGGACCTTTTCTTTTAATGCTATTTTTAACAAAATCCACATTTTCAATTTCACCATCTAGCCATTCTGCTGTATATATGGTACTAAAACTGCCACTAGCCAAGATTTTCGAATTTTTAAGCCGTTTTCTGGGGATATATTCGAATAATGTTTCAACACTCACAGACTCGTTAAACATATCTATAATTGCATTGAAAACTCCACTTTCCGCTTTATCCTGTTTATTTTTTGGTCTAAACAGATAACCGAATATATCTATTGGCTATTCTGAAAGATAGATGTCCTTTACGCATAAGTTACACCAATTTTCATAATTACTTCCACGATTGCAGCGCGAACATTTGCTATTTTTGTCAAGAGCTGGTTTTGACTTTAATGCATTTAATAATGTTGTTCCCAAGTTTATTTCGGTACAATAAAAAAATGCTTTATTAACATCCTTTTTAACTCCAGTTCCCGTTAAATAACAAAATCCAAGATAACGAGATGCTTTATGTTTATCTTGTTCAACTCCAATTCCTTTAAGGTAGCAATTTCCAAGAATATATACACCATCAATATTTCCCATATCAACGGACCTTTGATAATAAATGAATGCCTTATTTATGTTCATTCTTTTCAACTCCAATACCATGTTGATAACAATGCCCAAGATTGCACATTCCTATAGCATTCCCCATATCAGCAGATTTTTGATAATAAAAGAATGCCTTGTGATCATCTTTTTCTACTCCAATTCCATGTTGATAACGATATCCGACTTGATATACCTCATCAGAATTAACCATCTCAGCAAAATTTTGATAATAAATCAACGCTTTATGTTCATCCTTTTCAACTCCAATTCCATATTGATAACAATATCCAAGATTGCACATTCCACAAGCATTCTCCATCTCAGCAGACTTCTGATAATAAATGAATGCCTTATGTTTGTCCCTTTTGACTCCATTTCCATTGAGATAACAATTTCCAACATCGTTTATCCCTGTAGTATTCCCCATATCAGCAGATCTTTGATAACAAATAAATGCCTCATTTTCATCCTTTTCAATTCCTATTCCATTAAAATAGCAATTACCAAGTTTGTACATTCCTTCGGCATTCCTCATATCAGCAGATTTTTGATAATAAATGAATGCTTTATTCTCATCCTTTTCAACTCCAATCCCATTTTGATAACAATGTCCAGTCATATTTGTTCCTTCAGCGTCTCCTATCTCTGCAGATGTTTGAAAATAAATAAATGCCTTATGTTCGTTTTTTTCGACCCCATTTCCATTAAGATAACAATTTCCAAGATTATATATTCCTTCGGCATTCCCTATATTAACAGATTCTTGATAATAAATGAATGCTTTATATTCATCTTTTTCAACTCCAATTCCATTTTGATAACAATGTCTAGTCATATTTGTTCCATCGTCGTCCCCCATCTCTGCAGATTTTTGATAATAGATGAATGCCTTATGTTCATTCTTTTCAACTCCGATTCCATTTTCATAACAATTTCCAAGTTTATACATTCCTCTGGCATTATCCATATCAGCAGATTTTTGATAATAACCAAATGCTTTATTTTCATCCCTTTCAATCCCAATTCCATTTTGATAACAATATCCGACCTCACATAGACCATCAGAATTGCCTGCCTCTGCGGATTTTTGATGATAAACGAATGTCTTATGTTCATCCTTTTTAACTCCAATTCCATTAAAATAACAACGTCCAAGATTGATCATTCCGTAAGTATCTCCCAACTCAGCAGATTTTTGATAATTGACAAATGCCTTATGTTCATCCTTTTTAACACCAATCCCCTTGTCATAACAATATCCAACTTCATTTGTTCCAGCGGCATCCCCCATTTCTGCTAATTTTTTAAAATAAATGAATGCCATATATTCGTCCTTTTCAACTCCAATTCCGTTTCGATAACAATGCCCAACATGATATATTCCACTATCGTGCCCATATCAGCTGATCTTTTATAATAAATAAATGCTTTATCTTCATCCTTTTCAACTCCAATTCCCATATCATAATAATATCCAGCGGCATTTAATCCAGTAGCATTTCCCATATCTGCAGATTTTTTATAATGAATGAATGCTTTATGTTTATTCTTTTCAACTCCAATTCCACATCGATAACAATCGCCGAGTAGGTACATTGCAAAAGCATTTCCCATCTCTGCAGATTTTTGATAATTGATAAATGCTTTATGCACATCTTTTTCAACAAAAATTCCGCGTTCATAACAATATCCAAGATAATATATTCCACTTGCATGCCCAAATTTGGCTGATTTTTCGTAATATGCAAACGCTTTACTTTCGTTCTTTGAAACACCTAACCCTTCTTCATAGCAACAACCAACACTAATTATTCCATAAGGATCACCCATATCAGCAGACCTTTGATAGTAAAAGAATGCCTTGCTTTCATCCTTTTCAATTCCAATTTCATGCTCATAAAATTCACCAAGAACAGCAATTGCGTAAGAATTGCCCATTTCCGCAGATTTTTGACAATAAGTAAAGGCTTCATGATCATCTTTTTTAACCCACCTTCCATAACGATAACAAATTACAAGAATGTTTAGAATCGTAGAATTTGTTTGATTGTTTAAGCAAATTCTAATTAAATCTTCTGAATTTATTTGGTTTTTTTGCTAAATATTGATCTATCGAATTAAAAATTTCTGCGGCATGATTTCCTTTCAGTATTTCTTCATTATGCAATTTACATAATTCATCGATTATTTGATTTAAAAAATTCCTTGAATTATTATTATCATCTAAAGATGAATTTTTACAAGCATATGGTAAAACTTTTTTATTTGACATTATAAGAAAAAGCGTATGGTAAAACCTTTTTATTTGACATTATAAGAAGAATAAAATGGTTGAATGTAAAATCAAAACAAAATTGATGTTTTACGTAAATTAGAATTGTAATGTAGTACTTTAACATAGTTGCCAAAAATTATTGTTATTACGCAATGTGTACGTACACATATTTGTAAAAAAATATTTGTTAAACCATTGAAGATAATTTTATTAACAAAAGGTTAACATATCGACAGATTTTCGGAATTGGGTTTACATGGATTTGTAAAGCGAACCCGTATGTATATAAAAATAATTTGAGTGATTAACAATAGCGCTACAAATTAATTTTAAAATTGTATTATTATTGTTATTTACTCCTTAAATTATTTTTATATACAGCACATACGTAATAAAAAATTTACATTTTGGATTCGTTTTATAAACCCATGAAAACCAAATTCCGAAGATCCACCGATATGATTATTAGCGTTAGCATTTTTTTTTAAAAAAAATTGTTTTTATATTAGGCCGAGCAAATTATTTTTTGATTATAACTTTGCTAGTCAAATTTTTTAAACTTCAAAATTTAAATATTTTTACTATCCGGGTGGTTTGTTTTGAAAAACTAATAATTTTAAAATAAAATTTTAAAAATAAAATTAAAAGGTTGTCAAAATTGTTGGTTTTTGCACATATTATATTATATTTTTCTAAATTTTTTTATATAAAATTTTTAGCACAAATTTCATATTAGATAGTATTTAGTATTAGAATTAAGGTTTTTGGGACGTAAAGCATTTTTACTTAAGAGTATCCCATATTAATTAACTAGCCAGCAATGCAACATAGGTGGTAAAACTATAGGTGCGTTTTAGTACAAGTGTTTTATATAATCTTAATTTCTTGGTAATTTATTATTAGGATTACAATTAATTATTGGGGATTATTTTTTATACTCCCAATTTTATTATTCATACCCCCCTGCAGATTAAAAGTTGAGCGAAGGTATCTTAGAAACCACTTGGCCAAATTCAATAGCCTTTTTTTTTTTTATTTGAATTCTATCGAATTTGACTTGGTGGTTGCTGAGATATCTTCACTTAGAGTTTTAAAAAAAATCAAAATGCCTATTAAAACAAATTGTACTAAAATTTCTTTAAATTTAGAGATGATATCTCAGCAACCACTAGGCCAAACTCGATAAAATTTTTTTATTTGAATTCTATGGATTCATAGAATTGAAATAAAAAAGGTTATCAGATTTGACTTTGTAGTTGCTGAGACATCTTCGTTAAAGGTTAAAAAGATTTCAAACATCTATCAAAACAAAGTTGCGGCAAAATTTTTTTTAAACTTTGAGCGAAGATATCTCAGCAACTACCAAATCAAATTCGATGAACCTTTTTTTTTTTTAATTCTATGAAACCCTATAATACAAATAAAAAAATTCGCCGGATTTGACTTGGTAGTTGCTAATATATCTTCACTCAAAGCTTTAAAAAAATTCAAAACGTCTATCAATACCGCTAGGGTTGTGTTATTTTTAAAATGTAAGTTGCATTTTAAGTTACCATGTAAGGTAATAATAATAATAATTTCATCCTTTAATAACCATAATGCTGGCTAAATTTATTCTGGCCGGCATTAATATCAAAGCCAGCCTGCTTTACTATGATATGGTTTGTAACTTACATTGTCTGGTAAGTTATTACAACCCTAACAGCCGCCAATTAAGTGAAAATTGTTCCTGAGCCAATTTTACCATAATGCGGGCTTATTTTTTAAAATTTTCTATTTTTGTAAAGAAAAAAATCAAGAAGTTAATTCCGGCTGGAAATTAGTAAACAATTATGTAATGTGGGCCAAAATTTTGAAGATCCTCGGTCGTTAGCCAATCAAAAATTTTGATTGGCCGTTGACATAAGTCATAACGTTTTTTCGATATGACCTTGGTCATATAATCATATGACTTTTGGGTCATAAGTCATATTGGTCATACCGAATATTAGTAAAAAAATTTTTTTACTATGATTCTTACTATATTAAAAGGTCAAAGTCATATCAACCTTCGTTATGACCAAATGACCTATGACAGGTCATAAAGGTCATAAAGGTCATATAGGTCATTTAAGGTCATCGGCCAACACTGATCAAAATTGTGTACCCTAAAAATTTTTGATACTATACAGTATACTGATATCACGTGTAGATATTTAAGCAAACGCTATTAAAAAAATGAATTTCATTAGATAATTTCTTAGCCTACACGATTCGCAGAATAAAATTAAATTTGGCAATTTCTTTAACATACTTTTTAATTTTTGATTTGGTCACGCAAGTGTTTAACTAAGATTAAACAACAAAACTTTTTACCACAATAAATATTTTTTTAAAACGATAAGTTTTTCTTTCAAAAAAAGACTATTTTACACACGACGATTTTTTTTAAAGATAATTTGAATAAACGTTTTTTAAAGAAAACTCTATTCGTGTAATAAATATTTAAATATATACTTTTTAAAAACATTGTTCATGTAACGAAGTTGTTTATTTTTTTAAAATAAGTACATACAGTATCGTTTGTTTAGTATTCGCATAACTTAAGTTTTTTAATAAAGCTTTTAATATCTTAGCCGCATCGTTATAAAGAATTTTATCCTTTAAAAAATTTTTATAATTTATTAGAGGTGGTTTTTTTGAATAACAAATTCACGTTGGGTGAATTTTTGGTGGGGTGATACTTGAGTATCAAAAAGTATCAAAGTTTTTAGGGTACATCTGGGTGTACAAAAAAGTAGGCGCAGGAGTATCGAAAATGTATGTTTTGCATCCCAAATAGTTTGGATGGCGGCTATAGTATAAACAAAGTCCCTGTATTATCATATTGAAAGGTGCAGTCACATAATTTTCAGCCTTAGGTGATAATCCAAGAGAATCTTTGATTTTTCTGATTTAAATATATTATAAAAGGTATGCATTAACAAGAATTTGCTTAAACGAATTAAAAACAATCCCCATATATAATTAAAAATTTTGTGGTTGTTATGTCCAATGTCATTATCAGTTATAATGAGCAACATTTATAAAGAGTCTACTGTAAATGAGTTTATATAAATGAAGATCTAAAATAAAAAAAGGGTTGTAGCGCATCGACATGAATTAACAAATATATATATATAATTATTTTATTAATATATATTGATAAAATGTAATTAATCGTTAATGTCTTATACCGATACGTATTGGTATCGGCGCACAAAATTTTAACATGATGCAATTTGCTATTTTTCCGACATTCTTTTTTAATCGGGAAATCCCTGACCGTTTAAAATAACGCCTTAATTAAACGGAAATCTCCGGCATTTTACAATAGGTTTTGTGCATTGATACGTATTATCCGCATTGAGGAAGGTTCTTTTTATAACTATTATTATTAAGGAAATATATAAAAAAAATCGGAGCTCTAAATAACACGTGATCGCTCCCTCAGTTGTTGGTAAAGCTGGAATTCGCGAAACGCGAAATAGAACGTTTTTCACGATAACTCAGATATTATAACGCTGAATCGATCGTGATAGATAATAAAATCATTTTATAGCCCATTGTTACCCAAATTTGAACATGTTCAAATTTTAAAGCAACGGGGAAAAGTTATTTATTTAGTTATTAAATATATTGAATCGTGCTTGTATTTTTTTTTATGATATGTAAAATTTTATTAATCATTTTATATACATGTATAGGTTGCATTAAGTATAAAGTAGATTCGAGTTTGATAAATGATTCGATTAATCTCGTGTCGGAAAGTGAAAAAAAAAGTATGATAGATAAATTAGCTAATCCGAGATGACAAATATAATTAACAACATTCTAATTAGAAAATACCGATTGATCGCGTGAATGTATGTCACATACTTTCATCAAGACTTTGATCAATCAAACCGTTGATTCTTTTCACTATCAGTACTGATTCTGATTTCAATATTGACATTTTAAAAAAAAATGGATTTGAAATGATCAATTTCAACCCAGTTACCCATTCAAATACGCGCGTTTACTGTAAACTCATATATATTCATTAAAACTCAGAATGATTGATATATTGATTGATTATAAATCATCAAGAAACTTTTTATATATGGTTTTACATTACATCATCTTATATCGGTTTTTACTCTTACTATACCATCATGAGCTATTGAATTCATATATAAATACAACCATGATACATTTTAATTTATCTATACCTTTTTTTTTTTTTATCCGTACAATTTTATCATATTTCTCTTTGTACTCTTTCTTTCTTTCATTTCGTAAGCCATATTCGTTCACGAAAAATTAAAGACTTTACGTACGAACGGTAAACGAACGATAGAAAAATTTAGGGTAGGCACTGATTTCTTCGTTATCACTAGATCATCACGAATCAAACTATCACTTTATAATATATATATATATATATATAAAATAAAAAAAAGCTTTTGATTTTTGATTATTATATAAATGGCTCTTTTATCACTTCGTGTTATCAAAACATTATCTCTCTACATTTATCAGTTAGTTTGATGATAAAACTCTTTATTAGTTAATATATGAATTTGTGATAAAGAAAAAGTTCCTTATTTTGTTTCTTTTGATTTTATTTTTATTTTAATTCATACAGGTAAACATTTAAAAGTCGAAACTTTTATCAATTTGTCAGTTTTCAGGGGTAAATATAACGTGAATTAATTTTGTATCATTATTTAAAAATAACGATAATTTTTTTTTACAAATTATTGAAATTATTATTAACGTTTTTATTACATTTCATATAAAGAAATTTAAAAGCTTTCATCTTTGGTTTATTATTCGCAATGTCTGACATTGAAAGTCCTCGTTTACGAGAAAATAATTCTTCAAATCATTCTCAAGACATGAAAATCGTCGCTAAAACTGAGGATCTTCCCCATTCGACAAATTTATTATCTCTTCACAACATTTGTAATATCATGCATTCTCAATCATCACCTTCTTTATCACCTCAATGGTTCGATCCTTCTCCTATTCATCCTTCTTCACCAAGTGAAAATTTAAAAGATCATAGAGATCCTCTTGATGACGCTCCTAAATTTAATGAACCATCTACTACTGAAATGATTAATTCTAATGATTATATGGATCCTAAGTCTCAACAAGTTATTGTTCATAACAATGAAGGTCATAATGAAGTTATTCGTAGCGATGAAGGTCGTATAATTGGTATTCATGATCTTGCAGATCTTGCAATTAACCTTAATCCAAGATCAATTGAGAATGATATCCAATCTGATATAGGTTCTCGATATCCATCCTCAAATTCTTATGTTACAAAAACTGTTTATAATCCTTTAATTAATTCTCAAGAACAAACCGTAGAACGTCAAAAAGTTGAAATTGAAACGGCTCAATGTACGAATCCAATGTGTGCTCAATGTCATCATTCAAATTATTCTAGTGCTCCTCAATATCCTTTTCCAATGCAATATTATATGGCATTGGCGAATGGTAATATTTATCAGCAATCTCCTTTTATTCCACCAACTGCGGTCTATACTCCTTCACAAACTATTCAATCCCAAATTTCAACAAAGAGTGAACAACAACAAATTTCTACAAGAAAAAATAATAATGTTCACACTATTAATATTGATAATAATAAAGATGAATGTAAGGAATGTACTGAAACTGTTAAACCATCTCAACCTAAAAGAAGACGACGTAGAAAAACAAAAGCGACTATCGGTTCACCAATTATTTCTGGTATTGGTTCATCTGGTCAAAGTATTGAACATAAAAGTAAAAATGGTGAAATTTATCGTTGCTCAAATTGTGGTGCGAGAGAAACACCTGCTTGGAGAAGAGATCTTCGTGGTGAAGCATTACTTTGCAACGCTTGTGGATTATAGTATGTTGATATTTATTTCGTTTAATTAATTTATTTAATATTTTTGGTTTAGATTTATTACTTTATTAATTATTATTTAATATTTTATTACTTAATTAATATTTTTTATTTTTACTTTATTAATTCTTTATTAATTCTTTATTAATTCTTTCTTAATATTTATTAAATATTATCAATATTTTATTAATTAATATAAATCTTATCAATACTCTATTAATAAATTATTATGTTTAGTTTGAAGGTTAAAGGATGTCATAGACCGACTGAAGTTGGTGTGGATGGTGAAATACGTTTGGTAAAAACCGAAAAGTCTGGTATTGGTGAACCAAAATGTCAAAATTGTGGAACTCAAAATACTCCTTGTTGGAGAGGACCCGAAGGAAGCAAACTTTGTAAATTTACATATTCATTTTTGAAATAAAACTCTTTAAATTACTTAATTCATCAATTTTTTAAATCATTCTAATTCAGGTAATCGTTGTGGTCTTTTCTTGAAACAACATGGATATCAACGTCCGGGCACACCACATGAGAAAAAAGTTCCATCAGTAAGATTTAGTCCTTATTAAAGATTTGGACTTTTTTCAAAGTGTTAAAAGATTATATGAACTATGAAAAATAAGCAGCGATAACCTTTCTTTTTTTAATGCTGCCTATTAAATTTTTCATTATAAAAAAAGTCCGAATACACATCATAGTTTTTCTTTATAACAATCTTGTATTTTCTTTTATGTAAATGTCTGTAAAAAAAGTTAAAAAAAAACAATAATAATTTTTTATTTAAATATTTATAACATTCGATTCATGTCGTATGTTGCAGAAAAGAAAAAAAAAAAAAAAAAAGGATCGGAAAATCAAGATAGTTTTCTTAAGATATGTTACCTGATAAAACATTAAAATTTTATAATATTTATTAATATAATTAATTAAAGTTTGAAATTATTTGCTGACGAACAAAATTCGGCTTAAATTTAATATATGTTTATTTATTTTATTTTAATTTTTTTTTTAAAAAAAGTCCCTACACTAGACTAATGTTAGTTCATGCCTTGTGAAATGTACAGTACAGTACTTCTATTTGCAGTTACTTGATAGATAATTAAGATATGTTTACACTATAAAATATTTAACGATCAATGGTAATCATTGTTATTCAGGAATACATAATTTATAGAAAGGAGAAACTATGAACATACTATTTATCACATAATGTTTCTTACACAATATTTTGAGAACTTTATTTTTTGGACAATGACTCTCTACAACCATTTCTTTAATACTGTACCTCATTTAAACTACACAATAACTATCCATTTTCGTTTTCCTTAGAATAAAGTTTAAATACGCCGTATCCCTGAGAATCTGCCGAACACCATATTAATTACTTTAAGATCTGAATCTTTATAGTCTTACTTTCTTGTGACTTGGTCGATTTTTTTATACGACTGAATTCATCGTTGTCATTATAAATTTAGAGTACTTTTATAATATAGCTATACTGGAGTACTGTATTTATACCGATACCGGCACTTGCGGTTTAAATTTTGCCTTTGTC